GTTCACAAATGACAGACGGTCGGACGTTTTTTGGATGAAGGAGAGGTGACAGAAAAAAAGCACAAATCTTCTTCGGTATCAACGACTCACTATTCATGAAATCTGACTACATAACGTATTAGAGGGAGGAGTTTACTACATATTAGAACATGATTTGCCCACCTTTTCTGTATCCGGGCCCCACAATACGAGTTTTTCTGTCAAAAATTGCCCTTTTTGCCGCAGAATTACAAAACTTTCTCTATACTACGTGTATTACATTATAAATACGTACGTATACGAGAAAGTAAAAACAAGATTTTTACAAAGCAGGTCTAATTTTTTTCTTTAAACTTTTTATGATTTTAGTGCTAATTATACTGAATAGCATGACATGACATGATCCATTTTGATATATTCCTTTGGTTATTCAAAAATTACAGAAATGTAAGAATTTTTATATCTCTCATGTCTTTAATATTAACATAAAGGGCGCTTTTTAAACATTATTTAATTTCTGTATGAGTCGAAGTGCTGCAAATGATTTCTTATGATTTTCTCAAGACCTTGAGAAACTATGATAATGAGCTCAAAATTGGGCGATTTCAGAAAAGGACATTTTCTAAAAGCGGCTCCACTTCTTTAAACTTGTTGAATTGGTGATGCTAAATGCTCTTAATATCATGACATCAACACCATTATGATGTATTCTTTTTATTTTTTAATCACAAATTTGTGATTGTTTTATATATTTCTGGCGACGGTAATATTTACATTACGGGCGTTTTTAAACCTTATTGTATATGTAAACACAAGTGCTTCAAATTATTTCTTATGAAAGTAACTGTACTCTAATACACACACATACACACACACAAAGCAATCTGTTAAATAAGCTCAAAATTGGGCAATTTTCAGGAACGCTCAAACGACAGTTTTTCAAACTGCTCAATTTTGTTAAAATTAAAATGAGCACATACAACCCTGTTTTGCTCTTTCTGTAATATTCTTAAACTAATATTCAATTACTTTTAGGGGACCGAAAAATTGAGAAAAGATGAAAATATGTTTTTAGGCACTGGCAGGTAGCTGCTGGGAAGGAACTGGGTCAGAGCAGCAAAGCTAGTCTAATTTGTTGCAACTTCGCAACACGCCTTTTAGCATACTCGGGCGTTCAGCTCACCTGGAGTAATCCTCCTGTAAGTTTTTGTTTCGTCACGTCACAGTGTCAGTGTCTCTTATCCCTTCCAGGGGATCAGCGCCGTTAGTAACCGGGGTTCCCAGATGTTCACCTGTCTAGGAATCCGTGGTATCTCGATTTGCCTAACTTTCGTGACTTCACGCGGAGCGTAGTTAATCAATTTGACCAGAGGTACACGCTGAAGACTAAAGAGATAAGAAAACTAACAAGTCCGAAAAAGTATGTACCATTTATGGAGCATCTCTAGTTTTCTTGGTCACAGTACAAAACATTCCATGTTTCTACGAGAACCTGTTTGGCTATGTCATTAAAGAAGTTATTCCAGGTACCTTTTCCACAGTTTTTTCAAATGTGTTCACTATCCGCCATTAGTTTTGGGACATTGTTGTTCCTTTCGTTGAATTCTGGGACAACATATTTATCTTTCATCTCTTGCGCTGACATGATTAGAATGAACGATTTTAACGACAAATTTGTATATTTCAATAAGGCCGACTGGCAAGCGTTACCTCGGCCAGTCGGTTCGGGAAGAGAATTAGTAGTACCCATCTCAGTAGATTTGAAGGTAATGAACTACAAAAAGGGAAAGGTGCTCCAGATTGGAACCCGTAGGAAGGGCACCTAGTGTTTAGGTGTTTCGCAGAAACTGGGGGTAGCCAGCGGGGGAGGGGGGTCGTTTAAAAGTTTTGATAGAAGCAGGACCCTCAACATAGTTGGATGTAAAATAAAATTTAAATGAAAAACTTGTTTTCATATTAATTAATACAGTATAATAATAATAATAATAATAATAATAATAATAATAATAATAATAATAATAACACTAATTGGTATTATTATTATTATTATTATTATTATTATTATTATTATTATTATTATTACAGAAAAATGAGATTGAAATAATACTTCAAATATATAACAAAACAGATATCATAAATTAAATCATCAAAGGTATAAAGAAATGTTACATACCTTTTATTTTTCTGTAATTCGATATGCATAATTTTGTTTCCATTACATTCTGTTCTTTAATCATAATTGGCATATCCATTTGTTTGGTGAGCTTCTGCAATTCTAATACATCATTTACAGTGGGTATTTGTTTATACATAACCTGTAGGTAAAGTTATATATACATAAATTATGTAAAGAAATGTTTTGCACTCATACATTTCATGTAAAATAGTAAAGGAAAGACCTTCACTCCTTCCCACTTTCTTTCATAATTCCATAAATTTTCCATTAATTGCTTTCTTTTTCTCTCATTGTTTTGTTGTTCCATTATTTTCTTCAGTTCATTCTCAAGATCACTGATTATATCCAGTGAGGTATGCAAGCTGTTTGGTGAATCAACAGTCTAAATATTATTCTCTTCTTAGCCCTATGATCATCCAAACAATTAAAGTAGCCTACTTACCTCATAATATTCTCTTCTGCACGTTTGACTCCAGTAGATAAACCAGTTTTAAAAGAGCTTTTAACTTCATTCATTTCTTTAGTGTGAGTACAGCTTTCTCTTATTTTTGTTAGTTGAATATTCAAATCTAGATGTGAAAGGCAAGTATAAAATGACTGCATTGTGATATTTAACAATTTCACTATTCTTACCCATTGCCATCCAAATCACGAAATAAAAGAGATTTTTGCATCTTAGAATGGTCACTAAATAAAGAAATTGCTCTCTTTCCCAGGTAATTTGATTACAGAACAGGCCAAGATGTGATCAGTTGAAAAGTGGTAAAATGAGATAATAAATCCTACAAATGCAGTTTTCTAAAGACTACATTGCAAATGCCCAATGTAATGCAGAAATGAGAATTAGAGGTAAACTGAAAATAATTTTCAGTTTACCTCTAATTCTGTAATTTCATGAAAGATGCTAACTAATAACTACATTTTATTATCTCTAACAAAAGTGTTAATAAAAAGATTTATGTTTCATATTGTGAATTTTCATAATATACTACTAAAAAGAAATGTACTACTTCCCAGCAAAGACAAAAATGTCACTCCTTTCTCATGAAGGCCCCAATAGTGTCATGTATTGGATTAACATTAATTTTAAGTTCTGAAAGAGCACACCGAAGGCGATTGAGAAGATCACATTACTTTCAGAACCATTACCAAATCTTCAGAAACCAGAAATATTTTCATTAAATTGGTCAAGAAAAAATTACATAATTTATTTATTTAATGTCAAAAAGAGTTAAAACTGTGTGTGATGTACTGTGGAAGAGAAGTGAATCTGGCCATATTTTCTTCAGCTCTGGAATTGCCTCTTATGCCATTTTAAATGGAATTGTGAATACATGTAGCAACGAGTGTTTTTGGCAAGGTTTGATAATACCTAATTCCTGTGTCTTGAATATGTTTATCTATAATTTTATTATATTACCTAATAAGTTCATTATATTTTAAAGAACAGTTAAATTTTTACTAGTTTTTTTTATTTCTTGACATTGGATAGCATTTCTTTCAAAGTACATTTCTTCTTAAAATATTTTAATCTTACTGCATCTCAAAGCTTAACAGACAGTTTTAAGTTCTATATGTTTGAAGCTAGGGCTTTATCTATTTGTTGCCACTGTCACAAAGAGAAGGTTGTGTAGCAAGTACAATGCTCCAGCTGCCTTTACCTTCAGGAAAGTTCATGATTTCTTTTTGGAAAGGAGGCCGAGTTGACTCCACAACTAGCTTGAATGAAAATTACCAGATAAAAAAAGTGACCTACATCAGAATTCGAGCCTGTATCCTTCAGATCAGTAAGCCATTGCCCAACTAAAGAGCTACCAAGGCCCCCCCTTGAGAATTAATTCTTCAGCCTTTAATTCTGAAAAACATATTCTGCTAATTTAAAAGTAGATAATCACAGTGGTTGATAAACTATACTACTGAAATTATTACTTACACATTTAATTTATGAGAAAACTGACAAAAAAGAAAACAACAACTGTATCTTTCATGATAAATAAAGAGTTTATATTTCACCCACTCTTACTAGTTGTTTTAAAATTTTCAAAAAATTATTATTTTGTTTGAGTAAGCAGTATTTAAATGAAAATGACGGTTTTTAACCCTTGTAAAAATGAATGAATATGTACTACATGAGCAGGTATGTAGTGTATTTTATACAATAATAATATATAACCATCTTATTTCTCTTTTCAAAGTCTCCTTATTGATGGCACCACAAGTGATGCAGAATTTATTTTGTCTCTTTCAGTTTGTTTGTTAATAAACTCAGCAGTGTAAGTTATCATATAACTCAAGATTTGTCCATTTCTTCCTAGTGTTGAAACTACCTCTAGGGAAAATATTACTGTATTGAGTTACCAATACAGTAAAATACTTACATGTAGGTTTGTAATAAAGAATTATTATATTACTATATTGGACTAGATGTAAACTATGTTTCTTAAACTAGCACCAAACTGTTATTAATATACTCACTGTTACACATTTCTTTTTCTATTTGTATTTGTTTAGTTAACATAATAAATTGTAATTCTGCTGCCTCTACAACGGAATCCATGACTTTTTGCGTTATTACTCCTTTAAAATATGCTTCTCAAATTATGTCTCTTAAAATTACCGCTCTTGTGTACTCAATTATTGTCAGCATCGCCAACCTTGAAAGCTTCTTTATACATTTTTTAAAATGTTTTGTAAATAATGTTCCTTATCGATTAAAAATGTAATTAAAACTTCTATATTCATTAGGAAAATATTATATTTGTATGTTTTAAGCAGAAATATTTGTATATATTACCGTGGGAGGCTTTGTGTAGTTTGGTTGAATTTGACCATTTTACAGTTGCACGGTTGCAGGAATTTGTGTTTTCCGCGATGGTTGTGGACCACTGCGCAGTGCGCTCTCAAAAGCATGCTCAAAAGCGCTAGTAACATCAACAGCACATAATATTCACGAAGTATATATACAGAGCTAGTTGAAGAAGAGAGTGAGTTGATGAGGGTGTATAGAGGAGGACTTTCTGGGCTCATGGCCCGGTCCAGGGCTGGCCACCGAATCGTATAATGAAGTATTACAGTTGAAGCCGATGCGGCTTTTTGAGTTCGTACACCTCCTAAGTAAATACGTTCATTGAAAAAAAAAAAAAAATAGTCTAATTTTTTCAGGGAGCCCTTATCTGAAAAATGGGGAGTGGCTTGTATGTCACAAATTATTGGTGTGAAAATTCACCAGAAGATAGATTGTGATCTGTAAATATTTTGCTGTATTCTCAAACTTACTCAATAGACGTAATTAAAACAGGTGATATGAACTTCTTTATTAACGATTTTTCGGTGGTTTTATATCCAATCTTTCGTAATTTGATAGTGCGCATGTATGGACCAGGCACGTACTTAGAAATTAATTCGACGACTCGTGTGCGATATGATGATCCCTCTTCTCTGTCTTTAAATTTTGAGAAAGACTCGCACAACCACACGGATGAATTGAAGTATTGTGCTACTTGTATTTCGTAATATTTCTCATTGTACTAATGTTCATGGCTCAACATTTTGAGTACGTACGGGATAAAAATCTTAATTGTGTCATATACCATGGAAACGTTGACATTGGATTCTCACAGGTATGAGTTCAGAGTCGCAACTATACAGTTTTTCTTTCTTTCCTTTTCAACCTTTTTTAAGATTGTAGATATTTTGATTTTTCAGGCTGATTCATTTGGATCTTAAGGGAGCCCCTCCAAAAGTTTCATATCTTGAGCAGGTAAATAGTTTTCAAAAAAATTCATTGTTTTTAGATTTATAAAAATCAAAGAAAAATTGCATCCATTTTGTATTTCTGCAGCTTTTTCCTCTATTTCGTGAATGGGGTGCCACTGGACTGCTGTTAGAATGGGAAGACACTTTCCCATACACTCGAGATCTTACTCCAATTGGATCAAATAGTCCTTCTTGCCAAGGAAGTGCTTACAGCACAGAAGAAGCAAGACTAATTCTACAGCTTGCTGGTGAGGCAGGATTGGCAGTTGTTCCCCTTGTGCAGACGTTTGGTCATTTAGAGGTAAGAACTGGTTTTGATAGTGATTAGAAAATATGCTAGGAATTTATCTACTTTTATTGCTGTAAGGCCGAACTGTATTTAAAAAAAGATTTTGCTACGTTATAGTTTGTATTGAAGCATGACAACTGGCGTCACCTGAGAGAAGTAGAAGCATATCCAAGTTCCATGTGTCCATCTCACCCAGGAGCAGTTCCTCTTGTTACTTCACTTATCCGGCAGATAGTAGAGTTTCATCCAGATATTCAGTTCATTCATATTGGGGCAGATGAGGTATGCTGTAAAATTTATATTTCTGATAAGTGATAAACTATTGTTTTTTTTCTTTGTTATATTTGATAGAATGTACAGTTAAAGACCTACAATTTTTATTCATTTTTCTTGAATTTGGATATACATTTGTCTTAATTTTTTATTTCTATATGAAGTTGAAGGTAGTTTATAGCATTATTTGAAATATAATATAGATCGCTATGTATATATTGCTTAGAGAAGTGAAATTAAAATTAGTGTTGTTTATGTGGAAAAATCTATCTTAAAATTTTGTAGGAAACTTAAAAAATTTTCAAATAAATCCTATTCTAAATTACATCGGTTGACAATTTTCTATTTTGTCTTAATAAGAAGTAAATAAAACATCGAGCAAATTTTCAAGATGGTGTTAGATGGCTCACTTTTCCTTCACATCAACAAATATTGAAGTTTCACTGAAGTAGCTTCAGAAACCTGTTTTTGGGTAGGGAGGGCTGATAATGTGGACACCCGTGATACTCATTGGCTGTGGCTTTAAATGATGAACATCATGAACTGCTGACTTTTGCCTCCTAGACTGGACTGGAGAATTCTTATGTTTAACTGTTTGATATGTACTTACACATTCACACTGTTAATTTTTTTAAAGTCATTTTTATCATACGTCTTCAGCTTTCATATACTTTTGAAGCTATAGGCATGAGCCCAGCCATGGCCAGGGTGTGTGTGGTCCTACTGAAAATTTTGAAAGGGGCTCTGTAGCCCTACTTAATAAAATATTTTATTTTTCTAAATTTTATCAACTCCCTATTTTCTTCTTATTTTAAGTTGATTATTTGGGAAATTGATACCTGATATTTGAGGAGAAGACTCCAAACTTGCCAACCCTACAAAAACACTTCATCATAAAATAAATTATATTTGTTAATGCCGTAATATTAGTAATGACATTCAAGTTACAGCTCCATTCTCCTCATAAGTTTTATTATTCTCTAGTAAAATATGAAATATATCATATGCAAATTAAAGTTAAATAGGGGGCCTAGAGAAAACCAGAGGTGCCTAGAAATGTTGTTGGCCACCTATGCTTAAAGCTCATTTCCTGAATTTCACTTTGTAGAAGAAAAACATTTGTCTTTTCTATTCTTTCTATTGTGTGTTGCAATTATGTTTAAAAGCAAAGATATTGGGAATAGTTAGTGTGAAATAAATTTTACCTGCACAGGCCTGCCCAATGAGCCAGATTCAGATCAATGTGCCCTGGAAAATTCCTGGAGTGTTATCCAGGCCATCCCTCTATTGGCAGTCCAGTTCTCTTCCCTCTACAATCCTAGTCTTGACAGATCCGAGCTTGTAATGTTGCATGTAGCCCAGTGGCAAACTGTGCTCACAGCTCAGCTGCTCCATGCTAAAACCAGCACAGTAACAAACTTACTTTTTTTTAAATGCATTGAAAGCACTATTGCATGTGGGCTATGTGCAATGCCACACCTTTCAACCAGACGTATTTGTGAATATCTGTAGTAAGTTCAATGATTTCTCTACATTAAATTTGCTAATATCTATAAAATGTCAAAGAAAAATATTGAAAATTTATTTTTTCAAAATAGATGTTTTTCACGTACTGTTTTGGCATGGAGCTGCCCTAGGACCATTGATTTGGGTAGATCTGCTCTGTAGGATTTCCGATCTTGACACTAGACAGGTAACAACGTATTCTTTTAATATATGTTGATGCCATATTAGTAATGACCTTCCTGTATCTTGTCCTCTCTGGAGTTGAGGGGAATATATAGTTATTAATTATTTTTGGAAACTTGTTTTTCCATTTCCTGTAATCATGCTCTCTGTTTTCTTTAATATTTCATCATTTTTTCTTGTTGTATTTCAATAGCATCTTTCAAATTGAACTATTTTTTTTTAACTTTGTGCTGAACTTATAGCTACAATCCAAGAATTGTTCTTTGAGCTAGTTTGAGAGCTCAAAATATCTCCTTATTTGACACCCATGCAATCTGTCTTGAGTTATCATCAGTCTGCACTAAATATGTTTTGATAGGTCCTGTGAGCTCTGACAATATAACCTTTAGGAGTGGAAAGTATCAGTGATATTGTTTTTCTTGATTTTTAATCCCAGTTGCTAAGAATCATTGATTGTGCAGATGTGTAGCTCTACAATGGCCATCCTACATTGATTGTTTGCCAGCCACTGAGGTCCGATGTTTGTACAATGGCTATCATTGCACTAAGAAATTAAAATGTACTCTTAAAAAATTGTATACAATAGACCAAGCAATATTATTATTTTTAATGGTTTAACAAATGTTTTATTAAAGTTATTTCAAATTGTGTAAATATATTTTGTTTGTAAATGTTATACAACTATGAGCCTATTTTCACATTACTTTTTATATCCCTTTTTACATATTCTTATTGTTTTTGATACATATTTTGCTGTTCATACTGCATATTTGTCCAGACTCTGTGATGTCAGTACAAAAACTCAAACTAACATCAAAGTGGTTTTGCATTCCCAATAGCTATGCAATTGGTGGACCCTTTTATCCAGATTCCCAAGCTCAGACATCAAAACTAACCTCATAGGAAATATAAAATGGTGATATATTAATATAAATATTAAAATGGTAGTATTTGATATACTTTTTTAAATCTATTTCCAGATATTTTATGGCCAAGGAAGATATTCTTTGTTTAAAATTGTTTATAACTTATTTGTTTGCTGAAAGGAAAGATTTTTGTCTGTACTTGTAAATTCTTGTAAATTTCATCAGTACCTGGAAGTAAGTTGCTAGAAGGTTGCTTGTAATTTCTGATGTCGGTGTTTATTTTAATTTAATTTAATTTTAATTTAGTGGAAACTTTTGAGTGGTTTCAGTCTTTAAAATATTACTATCGATTTCCCTCATTCTTGAATTCCATATTAAGCAACTAAAAAGGATTTTTTCTCAAGGATTAGAAATGTAAAGGGTGTTGTTTTTTCCCCCTCCAACATGAGAATTTTTTCTTAATTATTTCTCATTTTTTTATTATGATGGTTAATTTATGCATGTTTATTTCTGTATTCATTATAATATCATTGTTATTGAGAAATTATTTTGTATTTAAGGTTTGGCACATGGGATTATGTGGAACTTGCATCAAAAGATTGGAAACTTGCAAGTATGGAAAGGCTGAATTGTATTTGGAACATGTTATGGCTATCTTACAATTTATAAGAGATACTTACTCTCCCCTGAAAGTTATTATGTGGGATGATATGTTGAGGAGCATTGATATTGCTGTTTTGAAAGGTTTAGTATAATTTTTTGAGTAGTGTAAGTGCAATTTTTTTTCTTCTGAAAGTGTTCTACAATAATTATTTTTGTCTTCCAGAATATAATCTTGGACATTACGTAGAGCCCATGGTTTGGCATTATCAACCAACACAGGCTTTCCAACTTCCATCAGGTGTGTTATTTTAATTTTGTTTTGTTAATTTTTCTATCAGAAGGGAAGTAAAGCCAGTTCTCCCATTTTTTTGTGACATGTAACAGAACCATTATCCTGAGTTACCCCTCTGAGCAAAATTCTAAAATGAATTATTGTCCAAGTTAATTAATATCCCTGTTTACTACTAGGTGGCATTGTTATGATTGTCCTACTAGAGTAACTACATATGCAGCCAATCCATATATAACCTCCCATAGCCCTGTCAGGTAGAATTCTGGAGTAGAATAGCAGGTGTTATGGAGACATTCAAGAACATTAATATTGATTTTGGATAGATTAATGGTTCCCAAAACTCCCAGAACAGTGCTGTTTTAATTCTATTGATAACTGGATGTAAAATGGCAAAATCAGTGACACAAAGGAATGCTCCATTCTCTGTATTTAGGGGCTCTTAACTAGGTTTGACTACAATATACATTTTAAATTATTTATTGTTTCAAACAAATTGCTCATCATTTAATCAAACCCACAATCTGCTCATCAGACACGTGGTTTGACAGATCACAAGTGCGTGCAGAGCAGCAATCTGCCACCTGACACTTTTCATTAATTTTTGAGAGTTTTTCTGAATTTAATCACAAGTCTGATAGCATTTACGATTGATGGCTCCCCCAAAAACATAAAGAATCCTTTTTTTTAAAATAAAACAACAAATTGTAAAAAACATACTGAAAATTTGTTTGTAGACAGTTAGAAAACAGTACAAACAGATTTCTCAATAAATTTTCATCAATAGTTGTGAAATCTTTCGGGTTGTAAGATTTTTTGCTCATGAATACAGTTAGTGAAAATTTCTTAAGTGCT